GGGGTTCTTTGTTTTTGTTCTTAGTGTGGAGATTTTTCCAGAGTGTAACTGCTCTGTTGTTGTGGTTGGGGGTTTGTTTTCATATTGATTTGTTTCACTAAGTAAAAGCCCCGTAAGACAGAGGGAAGTGTGCAGTTCGGAATGGCTAGCAGGCAGGGAGGGAGGCGTCCCTGGGCCGAGTGTGTGCGCCTCACAAGCGGGTGTGTGCTTTCTTCTGTCCTGCAGACCGGCAAGCGAGTGGGCAAGGTGCTGCACGCCTCCCTGCAGAGCGTCCTACACAAGGAGGAAAGCCTGGGGCCCAAGAGACAGAAAGTCGGCTTCCTGGGATGATTTGCACATCAACGCAAATGCGGGGTGTTTGGCTTTTTTGCTTTTCCTTTTAAGCCGCAGTTTGTATATATTTTTCTTATCTGTTATAAATTTGAGGCAACATTTGTACATGTAAAATTAAAGTATATTTTCTAGTCTGGTTTGGTACGGTTAGAGTTCTTCAGCAGTAATCCAAGATGCCATTGGTGGCACCCCCCCCCCACGCCAGAAAGTCTGGCTCTGGTCTGGCGAATGGCAGCCAGATCCAGAGATCTGCTCCCAGGGAGAATTCTCTGGTCGTGCCTCTCCAGGGAGACTTGTTTATCTTCTGCTGCAGGGATTCAAAATAACAACAAAAACACTAGAATAAGGATTTACCAGAAATATGGTTTAAAGGAAATGCTCATATGTATTTTGTGAAAAATGTTCCGCCTGTAGAGCTTTCAAAGAAAGAAACACACATACACGGAATTCATTCTCCTTGTGGATTTGGTGCTTCTAGGGGAGGAGAAAGGAGGCACATGCCCCAGGTACACACCCATGGCTTCCACCTGGCTGGTGAACCTTCCTGAGTCCTGGGGAGGCCCAGTTCTTGCTTTCTGCCCTCCAAGAAATCCAGGCCGAGCTCCCTAGGGTCCGGGGCTTAGTGGCCACTTTGGTCCTTAGCCAAGCATTCTTACCACTCTTGTTTTGAAAGTGCTCTGGATTTTATAACCCCTCCCTGGTGTTTCGTAAGATTTCCTTGTTTTATCAGCATGAAGAAGGCTGCTTTAGAGATGTTGTCATTTGATTACTCAGCCTGCCATCATACTCAGGGGACAGAAGGGAAGGCCATTCTCGATGGCCCCAGAAGGCTCCTCATAAGCCTGTATTCTACTCACAGCGCGTGGAATTAAGTCTCTTCACAGGTTGAGCAATCTTTAGTTTCTTCCAAACTGAAACTCCCCAATCAATCTTAAAGAGCCCCGGGGAAGGGCGAGTATCTCAGCCAGGGCATTTGCTCTGTGCATTTCAGTTAGACAAATTGGGTGAGGAGTTAGGATTGTATTGCCTAATGGAAGGAACATAATGTGAGTTGAAGCCTGGTTCCAGAGGTCCTGGCACGGTCACCTTCTGCTGGCATGGCCAGGTCCAGCCCCATGGAGACAAACAGCTGCTTCGACTTGGACTTGGAGCTGCTTCCCTCTTGAGAACACAACCTGGGTTTTCATTTTTAAAAAATGTTTTCCCAGCGGTTATCCCTCCAGGCACCATGACAGTGCTCCCGACAAGGCAGCAATGAGCCTGGTATCCCCCCCCCGCCCCACCTTGCTCCTGGCTGACTGCCCGTGATGGGACATGACAGTGGTCAAGATGCAGCTGGAGTTTAGTCAAGTTTAGAAACTTCAGTCCTGATGATTCAAGACATCAGACAGATGCACCTTTGCCAGGCTCGTGCATGACCGCCACCCAATGGGGCTGACCAGCCGAGCAGTTACCAGTGAGAACGGAGGCGAGAAATCAATTAGCATCTCTCTCTGCCTTTCCCAGGCCGCCCCTACCTGTCAGGCGCGAACATCACACGTGAAATGGAACCCCCAATGAGCAAGGTCTGTCCAGGAGAGGCATTTATGGGAAATGTGTGATGATTGCAGCTCTCAGAATAAGGGAAGAGAAAACTGATGGTGGAGACTTGGAAAAATAACTGTCCTGGAGAGACCCATGCTTCATCCAGCAGAAGCAGAGCTGTTCTTAGTGGCCATTAAACAAACATCAGGGAATGCAATGTACAGAACTTTCAAGTTGGTTCTGTTGTTTCTGTGATTTCTTGGTCTCCCAAATCATGTCCGTCCAAGTCTGCAAATAAATCAGTTTAAGACTCAGCCTGGAAGTATGCACAGCCCCGAAGTGCTGGGGACTTAGCGCCTCCCGAGGCAACCCACGACCACTGGGGGGCAGCAACCAGTAGGGAAACGCTGCTCCATCTGATCCTTGGGTGGACAGTTCCGAGAGGTGTTCGGTGCATTCAACACACATGCCGGTGGTGCCCATGACTGTGGTCAATCCTCTCCTTCCTGGTTTACCCTTCCCAGTCCTTCCTTCCTGTTCCCTGTGGGACTACCGCCCAGATAAACTACCAAACATGAGTCCTTGTCTCAGGCTTTGACTTGGGGAGTGACTCCGACTAAGCATTTGGTACTAGAAGTGGCCTTAAAGAGCAGGCCCTTCAAATGGGTCTTGAAAACAGGAGCAGTCATTGGCCGATGGCTGCGAAGACCCTGTGGGTGGTGGCAGGTGGGCCGGCGACAAGCTAGGCCATCCTTTAGTGTCATCATTACCAAGACTTGCCTGCGGTGGGTTGGGATGAGGTCCAGGAGAGGAAGTGTTGGGTCTTGTGAAAGCTCTACCACAAGGACACCTGGAGTCAGCGGTAATTATAAGAGTTGTTTAGTTAACTGGCTTCTATTAATGATGAAAGGCCTTTGAAAAATAAATGAAAGGCTCATCGGCCAAGTGTCACCTTGTGGTGTTATAAAAGTCAGAGGGCCTTCATGGTACAGCTTAAAGAGATGGATCTGCAGCTACTGGGTAGAATGTGCTGACACCCCTAGGATTTGCTTGTGCAAGAATGGCAGAGCCCCAAAGGAGATAAGCTGCCTCCTGGGCTGGTTTCCCTTGCCAAAGTCAGCGCTTTTGTCAGGAAGGAAAAGGACTCGGAGCTGGGATAAAGATGGGATCTTCGTCCCTGATATTCCCCTGAATGCTTTGAGCAGGCAGAAGCCCCCATCCCCTCGCTGAAAGAGAACCCCATTTCCTGAGAGAAACCCCAGACTACTTTCCATGGAGAGACCGTACATGAGGCCCATGCCTCAAGAGATGATATTTGCCAACCTCTGCCCCCCCTTCCCTCATTGTTTCCAGACCAATGACTATCCTGTTACAGCCCGGCCTGAGCTGGGAATTGCAGTCTCTGCTGTGGGAAGGAATAGATTACTTATAGAAATGATTGCAAGACCTGGCTTGGCATTTACCAGGGAAATAGGAGTAGGAGTGGACCTTGAGGGTATTGGACCAAGGCCATGGCTGAAAAGGAGCTTTAATGTCTTGGTAAGGAGGTCTGAATTGTTCCTAATTCACTGCTGGGATAGCCCCCTGAAGTTGGGACCTGGTGATCACCTGAAGTAAAAGGAGGCTATACCAGAACTGGACACACAGAAAAAGCAACAACTCTTGGGGTGCCTGGGTGGCTCAGTGGGTTAAGCTTCTGCCTTTAGCTCAGGTCATGATCCCGGGGTCCTGGGATTGAGCCCCACATTGGGCTCCCTGCTCAGTGGGGAGCCTGCTTCTCCCTCTGCCTCTGCCTGCCACTCCCCCTGCTTGTGCTGACTCTCTCAAATAAATAATCTTAAAAAAAAAAAAAAAAAGAGGGGCGCCTGGGTGGCTCAGTCGTTGGGCGTCTGCCTTTGGCTCAGGTCATGATCTCAGGGTCCTGGGATCGAGCCCTGCATCGGGCTCCCCGCTCAGCGGGAGGCCTGCTTCTCCCTCTCCCACTCCCCCTGCTTGTGGTCCCTCTCTCTCTGTGTCTCTCTGTCAAATAAACAAATAAATAATCTTAAAAAAAACCCCAAAAAACAAAACAAAACAAAGAGCAACAACTCTTCTTAGAGATCCATAAGAGAAGTGAGGTCACAGAGCCAACCACTGCTCCCCGAATTGGAGAGACCAACAAAGAAATACAGAGAGCCACACTTACTGGGAACCCAACCCGGGGAGGGAAACCTGAACTCTAACTGGCAAATTGCTGGAGGCTCAGTGTGGACGACTCTGAGAGTTAACAACTCCAGGGGGACCCAGTCATCAACGGCCCCCACACTTCTGTGAGTAAATCCTCTCATGCTTCTAGCAGGTGGTGGGAGGAGGAGGGGAGGGACCATTTTGAAATACACCAGAGCACTCTGTTCTTCGGGAGGCCTGCCCTCAGGAGAAACTACTTAACCAGAGCCTACCTGACCTGGAGGAAGGGAAATACCCAACTCATTCCCAGTCTAGCCATCCCGTCCCACCTAGGGATGTGTGTGTGTGTGTGGTGGGGGGAGTTAGAGTCGGGGAACTGAGAAGCAATGTGAGGTTCACAGTCCAGGGGCACAGGTGCACTAAAAGACAGCCCTGGGGGCGCCTGGGTGGCTCAGTCATTAAGCGTCTGCCTTCGGCTCAGGTCATGATCCCAGGATCCTGGGACGGAGCCCCACATCGGGCTCCCTGCTCAGAGGGAAGCCTGTTTCTCCCTCTCCCGCTCCCCCTGCTTGTGTTCCCTCTCTCGCTGTCTCTCTCTCTCTGTCAAATAAATAAATAAATAAATAAATAAATAAATAAATAAATAAAATCTTTAAAAAAAACCAAAAAACAGAAAACCAGCCATGGCCCTACTACAGATCACTTCCCCTCCCCCACACATCATCAGCACATTACTAAAGGCCTGTTTACAGCAGTTCCTTTTACCCGTTTGGCCACGAAGTAACAAGTATGAGGCATACTAAAAAGCAAAAAACACACTTTGCAGAAAAAGAGCAACCAGAAACCAGACCTGGCAGGGATACTGGAATTAACGGACTGGGAATTTAAAACAACTATGATTAATATGTAAGGGCTCTAATGGATAAAGTAGACAGCATACAAGAACAGATGGGAAAAGTAAGCATAGAGATGGAAATCCTACAAAAGAACCAAAAAGAATTGCTAGGGAGAAAAGCACTGTAACAGAAATGAAGAACGCCTACAGGTTTATCAGTGGACTGCGCATGGCAGAGGAAAGAATCTCTGAGCTTGAGGATCTATCAATAGAAACTTCCCAAAGTGAAAAGCAAAGAGAACACAAAGACTGAGAAACAGAACAGAATATGCAATGACTGTGGGACAATGATAAAAGGTGTAACGTACGCATGATGGAAATTCCAGAAAAAGTGAGAAAGGAATAGTAGAAATATTTAAGACAATAATGACTGAAAATTTTTCCCAAATTAATGTCAGACACCGAACCACAAATCCATCAGTCGACTGGGTACAATGGACATCTATAGACTACTTCATGAACAGCTGGATACACATTTTTCTCAAGCTCACATGGAACATTCACCAGCATAGACCACATTCTGGGCCATAGAACACACCTTAACAAATTCA